TGATAGAAAGTCGGCCAATTCTTCAATTTAGAGTTGCTTCGGTAGGTGTGTGGACTTGTAGACTTTATTCAACTAAAATAGATAACCTAGACACTTTTGTTTTGAAAGCATTTAACTCATTCAGATGGCTTTGCTCGAGTTAAGCCCTTTTTTTATTATCTACTCTTGCTTTCGCTTTGCTTGAACTATCAACTATTGAGGGGAAACACGGTTTTGACAGGATGACTTATACTTACATAATAGAACAACAATAACTTAAATAGTATTCTAACACAAATAAAAACTCTCGAGATTGGATATAAAGTAGCCTTCATATGGGAGTGATAAGAGTATTCAATCATCGATTCTTCAATCCTTTTACACTAACTTTAGTTGATTTAAAGATGAACTTAAATTTCATTAATAACCTTTGGAAACTCTAGTATGATGAATTTCCCTATTATTAATTGGTTTAAAGATAGAATTGTGTTCCATCGGTAACCTTTGGCATATTTTGATCTAGCTGTGGGATTCTTTTGACATTCAAATATTGCATAAATTTGGACTTAAATCATCTTATCGCCCATCTAGAAACATTCATTGCCAATTTTTTGATTAAGGTTTTAATACATATGACTTGCCTAATGAATTTATGCAGAAAAGATGACCGTAACGTTTGGTTTTATTCATTATATGATTGGATATAATCTATCTAACTCCCAATAGGGTCCCTTTTAGCGCGAGAGAACCGAGGCCGACCAAGCACGAAGATGGTAATCGTGAGTAACATTGATTTCCTATCAAGATAGTTACGGCTTTCGAAAAGAGTTAAGGTTTCGTGAGTGTTACTTGAGGTGAAACCCATCGAGGCACTAGTAATTCCTTCCTAGATCTTAAGACAAATGTAGATGACATTTAAAATTATACTATGTAATATGTGAGGTCATGACTCTATATCCAATCTCAAGAATATGAAATTAGGGCTACAAATTAAATGACTAAAGCTGCATGGAAGAACAACATAAACTACTTATATAAACACGGATACATTTCCATCACATAAGAAATTAAATGAATAAAGCCAAATGGAAGAACAACATTAACAACACATATAAATAAAGATACATTTTCACCACAAAATGTAGACAAAAAATAAATGGAAATTACTCACTTAAAAAAAATAGGCATAGAGCATAACAAACAATCGGAGATTCAAAACATAGACATTCAAAGTTTGACCCTAGCATGACATTATCCCTAATAGAGTAGCCAATTCTATCAACGTCGGCCTCCACGAGGAGGGTCGGAACAAGACGTCGCCATCTCGCTAATCGGGGAGATCTAGGAAATCCTAAACAAACTAGTCTACATTGATATCTAGGTAAAGGGTCGATAATGCATGAGGAAGATATGACATCACTACCATCTCATCTTACTTAAGGTTGGCTATAATGTTAGCTTATGAATATAAAAATCTAGTTTTTTTTTATCGTGTTATACTTCTATGCCCATTTAAATGAGTTTATTTTATAAAAATATGAAGTAGGATGGTTTAGATGTAAAACATGATAGTTTGGGAGTTCGGGCTCGTCTAAGGCCGATACTCCCTAGCCAAAGAGGGAAAGATGAGGAAGGTTGAAATTTTAGCTAGTCATTAGTGAACACAATCTATTATTGATAAATAAGTGTGTTTAAAGATAGATAGCCTTTTATTGGCATGAGTAGCGAGTCACTAGTGACTTCACTAATACAAGTGGGAAGCCATCGATAACTTCGAGTCATGGATTTAAAAAGTTATTTATAACTTTATCACGAAATGAGAAGCCATTGGCAACTTCATGTTGCTCGAGTGAGGAGCAAATGATCTGTTTTGGGAGCCACTAGTGGCTTCGTCACATAAGCCATTAGCGACTTTGTTTCAAACAAGCAAACATTAGATAAAAATTATTTCAAAACCGCCGATGACTTCATCATATAAATGGAAAGCTACCGACAGTTTCATTTTGATGAAATAAGAAATAGGAAATAGGAACAAAAAATAAAAAACATAAAAATAAAAAACAAGAAACAAGAAATAGATACAAAAAGTAGATAAAATGATTTTAAAACCCATCGATGGCTTCGTCACATAAGTGGGAAGCTATCGGTAGCTTCATTTTGAACAAGAAACAGGAAACAAAAAATAGGAAACATGAATAGAAAATAAGAAACAAGAAAACATGAAGCATAAAATAAGAAACATATATAAAAAATAGATAAAATGATTTCAAAACCCACCGGTGGCTTCCTTAAATAAGTGGGAAGCTATCGACAACTTTGTTTTGAAGAAATAGGAAACAAGAAATAAGAAATCGAAAACAAGAAACAAGAATAGAAAACAAGAAACGAGAAATATAAAAAATGATTCCAAAACCCACCGATGGCTTCGTTATATAAGTGGAAAGCTACCGATAATTTCATTTTGATAAAATAAGAAATAGAAAAAAAATAAGAATAGAATACAAGAAACAGGGAAACAAGAAAAATAAAATAAAAAACATGTATAAAATAGATAAAATGATTTTGAAACCCATCGACGACTTCGTTATATAAGTGGGAAGCTCAAAAGCTTCATTTTGATGAAACAAGAAACTAGAATCGGGAAGCAAGAAATAAGAATCAAGAATCAAGAAACACGAATCGATAAACGAGTAAATAGATAAAATAAATTCGAAACTATCAGCGGATTTATTTCCACGTTGCAATTAGAAACGGTTAATTAATCGACCACAAAAACAAGAACAAACTTCTTATTTAGACATGCAGATGAAGGTTTGGAGGGCGGAAGAATGGGTTTCTCTTTCTCCTCTTCATCATCATTGTCTTCTTCGTCGTCTCCATCGTCTTCACGGCCACCTTCGTCATCGTCTTGATTCCGACCAGCATCATTTTGCTGGGTTTGGACGGTGCCGTTTGGAGTTTCTTCTTCTTGTTCGCTATCGGTTTCTTCTTCTTCCTCGGAAGATGAAGCGGCAGGTGGGGCTTCTTCAATGGGGCGTTTTCGAGCCATGACGGCGATCTTTTCCTAAGAGAGAAACGAGAGGGTTTTTCAATTTTTTTTTTTAGGCAAGATTGACTGACAGCCAAGGGAAGGGGGAAGGTGTATAATTTATATAGCTCTTTTAGCAGGGTTGGCTTTTAGGGTTTCTAGAATTTACAATCTGCTTACGATGAGAATGGTACAGAACGAAATTATTTTATAATTATTTTTTATAAATTTTATATTTAAAAAATATCTTTTATTCTTTTTATATATGGATTTTTAAATGAAAAATTATAACAAATTAAAATAAAATATTCATAAAAAATTTGAAAATACTTTAAAAATATATTTTCATAAAATTACATTAAAAAAAGATTACAATTAATGTATGAATTTGTATAAAAAACTAACTAATAAAAAATAATTTATTTTTATTTTTATTTAATACCGATAAGAAAATTATTTTTTAAAGTATATGCATTTGATTATATATATATATATATATATATATTTATTTCCAAACTAATCAATAATGTTAGCATAAGAAACTATATTTAAAAAACTAGATGGTTCCTTTAAAAAATTGTTTAAATTATTTTATTTAAAAAAATTTGGTTCTATAATGTTTAAAAAAAAATTCAAAACAAATAATTGGTGTTATAAGTGAAGATGTATAATTAATTTTTAATAATACCGATAATGCAATATTTTTTATATAATTTTTTATTGTACTTAGTGAACCGAGATAAATTATTTGAAATATATTTTTAATTTATACACACACACACACACCTATCATTTAAAAATTTTAATATTTCATGATATATATTATATCAATTTATTTTTTCAAAAAGGTAAAATCATCATGTTTTAAAATTTTATATTAAACTCGCAAATAAAGAGAAAAATAAATCACATTTATTAGTAAATAAATTTTTATATAAAAAATATTAATTTGGTAAGAATTTTCATAAAACAATGATAAATTTAAAGAATAATTTTAAATAATAAAAGTAATATAATCTAAAATATATATTAATTTTAAAATATAAAAAGATAGTATATATATTTTACCTTTGCTATGTTGCATGATAAAACACAAATAATAACATTTGATGTTTCAAAAATTTTGCCTAAAATTTTTTAATTAAATAAATTAAAGAAAAAAAACCAAAGACAAGACCCACATGCTTAAGCCTCGGGCCAAAAAAAAAAAAAAGAAAAAGAAAAAGAAAAAGGTTGCATTTAATCCGTCAACCTCTCGTAATTTTTAGCAACATCGATTCATCGAAAAGAGTCATTAGAAAGTTGGGTTTTATCATTTCGACCTCTTAAAACTAAATTCTATCCCATTTTGTCCGAAAACACTTCAAAATAACAAAAATAACATCAAAACGCATTTAAAATCTTAAAACTCATTTGAATACACACAAAATAATCAAAATTTTAAAAAAAAACTCAAAATATTTTTTGATCCTAATCTAATTCCTTTGATCATTTTATTGCTTACCACCACACAAAAAAATTCTACTTTTCGAGGCAAATAAACCTTGTGTTTGGATAGGGAGGAAAGCGAAGGAGAGGAAAGAAACATTTTCCTTTGTTTGGTTTTGGAAGGAAAGCAATGGAAAGAAAAAAATATTAAACAAATCGATTAATGGTGGGACTCATTTTCCTCCCAAAATTAGGAGAAATCCGGAGAAGAAACCCGAGAAATCATAAAAAATTTTCTTATTCTCATTTTTACCCTCTATCCGCCTCACCACCTTCTCCTTTTCTCACTCTTTGTAGTAACATCACGATAAAACTCACCAAAACAGATTTACACATCAACGACTTTATTAAATATCACAAGCCCTCATTCATTCATTAGTTATGCTTTTCATCCGGCAAAATGTTCAACCTTGTCTACCTTGTGCGGGACTAGCTCCTTGGAATCAAGGATTAGAAGTATCACCAAAGAAGCGTTGAAGGAAATACAAATGGCTAGAACCATTTGTCATTGCGGTAGACCAATGGCCATCGGTTGTCGAGTTGCTTGATGGCGGAAATCTTTAGGCGTCTCCAAAAATAGACTCATTCTTTTCTTCTCTTCTGTTCTTTGCTTGATTTGTGAAAAACCCCCAAAAAGATTTGATCTTGGAAATCAAGAAAACCAAGAAAGATGCATGATTTACGCTTCACAATACCATACGGTTTGGTTCTTGTGATTGGAGGGGTAACTCGGGTATTTGAAGAAAGGGAGTACGGCATCATTAGGTAGGGGTGTTGGCACTTGGATTGATTCTTATCTTTGCTTGGATACTTGAGTCTTAAAGCATTTGAGAAGAGGAAGAATTCATTTCTTGGTTTGTTATCTTTTTTGTGAAGAGCTTGACCACTCGAACCTATAGAAAGCGAAGAATTGGAGAAGTGAGAGAATCTTGCACTTGTAGGCGATATTAAGGGCTTCAACAACCCATGAGCCATGGCCATGTACTCTTGTCGAGATAAAATGGATTTTTTTTACTCTTTTTTTTTTGGGTAATACAGACCAATTTTTGAAAAAAACTAAATTCAAAATAACATAAAATAAATAATAATGATTAAATAATTAATTTTTGAAACAAAAAGGATAAACTAATTTGTATCTCAAAACTAGAAGAACTTTATAATTTACTTGGGCCATGAGCATTTCAATGGGTTTGCCAATATTTAAAAGGAAAAAAAAAAGATTTGGGTTTGGGAATGTTATAGAATATAACATTAGTAAGGGTGTAAAGTTATGTAATGAAATTAGAATGCTTATTTTCACTTTTCATTATTCGGGAAGAAAATTTTCGGATTTTGAGGATATAAAATATAACATAAATAATAATGTCAAGTTATGCGGTGAAATTCTCATAATTGAAAAAAAATAGATGGATTTATAATCACATAAGAAAATCAAACTCACAACTTGAGGGTGATAAACAAGTAAGAATCCAAGTTAAAACTTGGGGGCCATGATTTATTTTTACATATTAGCCTATGACTCTACATAAGAAATTGTCATCATTTCATTCCTCAACCCTTTCACAATTTTGGATCTAGTACTTGGAAGACCCAACACCTCCCTTAAAGCACCAAAATTAGCTCTCAAATAGCTACAAACAAGCCCCAAAACACCATAAAAAATAGCCTCAAAATAGACCCAACATCTACCCAAAACCCCCAAACTCGACCTTAAAACTATTACAACGGCTCCCAAAAGCCTTATAGAGCAACCCTTTTGGATAGATCATTTGAACCACCAAAGCGAGTTCCAAAAACACGCACAAACTAGCTTCAAAACCACTCAAAAAATAGGTAAAAAATCAACCCTAAAACGGACCCAACACCTACCCAAAGCCCCAAATTCAGCCTTGGAACTATTACCGACAGACCCCAAAGCCCTTTACGAGCAACTCCTTTGGATAGGTCATTTGAACCACCAAAGAAGCTCCAAAAACATTCCCATACCAGATTCAAAACCACCCAAAAAAACCCACTAAAATAGGCATAAAACATCCATCAAAACGACCCATCGAACACTTTTTGGAGTTACTGCAAAAAAAGAAATAAAAATTATTATTAAAAAAAAGGCTAAACATATTTTCATGTCTTGGATTGCTGGCATCCACAACATGATGTTGTAGATTGCATTTGATTGAGTTTTTTGACGGAAAAATAAGCCTACCTTGGGCTTTCGGGAACTCGTAAATTTTACGATAAATTTGGAGTGTTCACCCGAGTAATGGGTTATGTCTATCTATCAAAACATGCAATTTATCTCATTTTTTGTGATTCAATTGACTTTCTATGATTGTTCACAATGCTATAATATACTCTTTTTTTTAATTGTTAAATAGTAATTTTTTAATCTAAAAAAAAAGCTAAGAAAATGATGGGTAAAAGCAACTAACTTATTATATGCATAGATAATAATATATGTTATACATATTTAAATTAATTTTATGTTGATAATTAATCTAAATTGACTATTGAATTAATTAATTATTAAACGAGTTATCGATTATTCTATGGAGACGATTCATTATCCATCTTATCATTTCGGATGGATGTTACATGCTAGATTTTTTTTTATTATCATTTGTGCTATTTTCATGAAAAAAATATTCAAAAAAAATTATTATAAGTATTTAAATATAGAAATATAATCATAGGAGTATTATAGTAAATATACAATAATACATTTTCTTTCCTCCCTCTTTTTACAATTATCCAAACAAGGAAAATATACTTTCTTTCCTTTCATTTCTACTCTTATCCAAACAACAAGTGAAAAATAGTTTTCTTTCCTCTCACTTTCTTTCCTCTCTTTTCTTTCCTCCTAAGAGGAAATATCCAAACAAAGGGAAAATGATGGTAAGATCGACTATTAGAGTGGTCGAACGGGTCTCGTCCCTCTCTCTCTCCCTCCCTCTCTCTCTCTCTCTCTCTCTCTCTCTCTCTCTCTCTCTCTCTGTTTCTCTCTTCTCTTAGTATGCGGGGACCAAAACGAAGAAAAAATAAAGTTGAAAAAAAAAACAAAGGAAGAAAGTGCATATTTTCCGGCAAACATTGACAAGCACAATAAATGAATAGAGATTTTAGAGAGGATGCATAATGAAAATAAAGAGAGTGCACGAGTGTGCGAATAGCATTTTTTTTTTCGTTTTAATTGTTTTGGATAATAGGGAGTAAATTATAAATTAGTCTCTCTCATTACATGGAATGAATTAATTAATGTCTATTGTTTCAAAAACTATAATTTAATTCTTCAACCATAGTTTGATCATTTTTAATTTAACATTATTTTTTATTTCATAAAATATTTTCTTTTATCGTCAATCTTTCCATATTTTTTTCTTGTTCTATTTCTTAAAAAAAAAAACATAAAATAAATTGAAAAAAAAAACTAGGTTATAAGTAAATTTAAAAACATGAAAATTAAATAGTTAACTTTTAAAATGAGAGAAATTAATTAAATTATTTTTTGAAACAAGAGAGATTAATTTATAATTTACTCGTTTATAAGAGATAGGTTATGATTTCTCCAAAAATTAAAAAAAAAAAAACAAGCAAACAAATAGTTAATAATCTCACTTTTCTTTATTTAATGACTCAAGTTTCCAATATATTCTTATATTCTAAAACGACTCTATTATATTTATGTTTTTCTAAAATAGTTTTTAATTTGTCACCATGATCAACTTTTGCTTTAAAACCATAAAAAATTAGCCATGTGACTTGCTAAAGAGCCTTTTTATTAAAAGATATGTCATATGCAAGTCACATAATCAATTTCTAATAGTTTGGCTACAAAAGTTAACCAAAAAGATAGATTAAAAATAATTAAAATAATAAAGATATAATAGATTAAAAAACTTGACCATTATATAAGAAATATGTGAGAATGTTAACAAAAAAAAAATAATAGTAATAATAATTTCCTTTTTGTTATTACTACCAAAAGTTCAAAAAAATAAAAATAAAAATTGTAAGTGTTAAAGAGCCCATTTTCAAAATTTTGAAAATGCGGGATTAATTTTATTATTTTGAAAATTATAAGATGAAGTAAAATTTTTTTGATTAATGGAATCTGTGGATGTTTTATTTTTAATGGTTGTAGAATTAAATGTATGCGATAATAATGTGTTGTTGAACTTGAAAATGTTTTTTGATGTTTAAATAATGGAATGATAAATTTTAATCAAATGCTCACTTTTTATTGAAAAAGAAAATATAAAATAAAGATTTAATTTAAAGCTTTAGATTGAAAAAAGAGAGTGCCATTTTTTGGTGACTATGAAATTTGAGGATGGGCTTCCAAAACATGGACTTACTCCAAATTATTGTGGACATTTTAAACTTAGGATCAACGACATTAATTTCTTGATTAGTTTAGGCTTTGTACTCGACAACTTCTTTAAGCTATTTACTTTATAGCTTCTAAAAGCTCTTTAATTTTCTTGATGGATTACAAACTTGCAAGTGCCCTTACCAAATAACTTTGAGTTTGAGAGTTTGATCCATCCGTTTTCATATAAAAAAACTATTAATATCATTTATTTTATTCTAATGATTTATGTGCACAATATTTTTTATCGTGAAAAAAAAACAATAAAGGCTAATTGGTCACATTAACATTTATTTGAAATGTTGATTCAATTATAAATTCTATTATACTAATTTTCACTTGTAATAGTTCGATTGCATTAATAGAACTTTTTTATAAAGATAAATAGTTTAATTTGTCTTCATATCCTAGTCCGAGTCTTCAATCTATTTTTACCTTTTTAATTACATCTATTATGTTTCTACGTAATATTTTAGTCTTTAATTTGTCTTTTCGATTAATATTTTTAATCATGAATAAGTGTTTTGATCGAAATGTCTCTATTTAAAAAAAAAATAAAGTCACATAACTTGCATGTTTTATTTTTTAAGTTTTTAGATTTCTTTTAACTTTTTAACTAGGAGTATTTTGGTCAAAATATTTGCTTATGGTAAGAAAAATTGATAAAAAAAATAGATTGGAGACTCAAACATTATTAAAGAATTTAAAAAATGCAATTAGAAACATAGGAACATTATATTGAACACCGTGATTGTTGTAACAACATATTGATCTACTTATCTTTTTTATAAACAATTTTATTGTTCTTAGAACTAGGGAAGACAAACATGATGGTCTCAAATGGAGCAATACTCGTGATATAAATGTAATATGGTGTTTAAGAGTGGAACATGATGGTCAAGAATATGTAGAGGGAGTTTAAATATTAGGAATTAGAGAACCTTCATTGTATCTTCTTTATGGTTTTCAAGGTAAAATCAGCCAATTGCACTTCTAGTTGCTTAATGACCACTATTTTGCGGGGCCTTACATTTCAAACGTTTTTGCTAAGGAATTTGGGCTCTGCTAGGACATTCTCATCCCTCTTTTACATTGTATAAGAATCCCAAACATGAAAAAAGATCTCTTAAGAGAGATTGAATCTTATGTCTATTAAAGCAAACTATAAAGCTTCATTGTTCCATCACCGAACTTCCTCAAAGCTAGCTAGTGTACGCGAATATGAATGCTTTCAATTCTTGAGGAACCAAAAGTATTTGGGGTTATCATTTTAAGAATTCTTATATCAAACTATAACTAACCTCCTTAAGAAGGACTTTTCCAAATCTTTTTTAGGTATCCTTAAGAAAATGTCTAAGGACATTCCATGTCCAAATCTTTCCTAACCCTCTAATGGAAGTGGGGATGAAGAAGATGAAAAAAGGACTCATATCTCTAAGTTTTCTCGTAAGTGTAACATTCCCGACTTAGTACTTAGATAGGTCAAGGATATTATCGACATTGACTTACACTTGGAGTTCAATGAATGTAAGCCAACAAGCTTCCTCCCTTAACATTTTTAGTTTATTAGCAAAGTGGACAATTCGATATGGGATCCCTAATAATATGA